CTACTAATCATAGGACAAAAGTCTTTCACCAACACAATTGAAAGTTTACAACTATTCAACCCGGATTATCTTCATACACATACCATTATTTTCAAGCGTAAATAAAGTACTAAGTCATCATTGCTAACATTCATTCTTCCCATGGACTAAAGTGAATCATCAAGTTACTTCGCATCCCAACAATGATTAACTCATATCATGATCAGACACCAATGTATTCACATATATCTTTAAACCGTACTCCTATACTATCCATATCCTCAATGCCATTCTCCGGTTTCTATTTCTCACACAAGCCTAAGGCAAGACAGGAAAAAAAAAGGGTAAGGATCACATAGTCATAGATGCAATACTAGTCAATCATAATCCAAAGTACAATTATCAGATTTCACAAAATTGATGCATATGATCACAACAGATACAAGTAAACATATAACAAGTCCAAATATATTAGAAATTAACCAAGTCTGCAGTGCTAGCACAATACACATTCAAGACATGCATCAAATTTCAAATCGGACCACCATCAACAGAAACCCTAACCAGATATTTACTCGCCTAGGCCACGACTACCTTCATAAATTTCAATCTCTTCAATTAGTTCAGCCTTAGATCTAGTACTCAGATCTTTCATGTCCTAACTTTCGCCATTACACTTTATCAAACTTTTACCTCTCCATTTTATCTCTTAGCTGTCTTTCCCTTTAGTCAATGCAGTTATGGAACTCCTAGAACTATTGACGAAATCATTAGTACATTTGCTCCTAGATCACACTAACTTCAGCCTCTCGAATGCGATCACTCTACCTCTTCAAATCTCCCTCAGTTTACACCTGAAGATAAGCTCTCTCCTTGAAAACCAAGAATTTCATATTCAAATCTTGGATAAACTTTTTTTTTTCAAAGCGGAAATTTTTTTCCAGTAGGTAAATAAGTGGAAAATGCATTTTATTCCTTTGAAGACTCTTTTGTTTTGATTCAAAACCATCATATGTGGAATAAACTAGCAAATCTCGATTTCTTGTCTCTGATAGCAATACCACTATTTGCACCGATTCCTTTCATTCCTACAAGTATAAAAATAATTTGAATCTCATTAAATCTTTCACTACTAATCTCTCACATAATGTTTCCTTTCGATATAACACCACATAATTTCTCAATTTTGTTTCCACCAATACCATATAAGAAACTCTCAAGTACCAATTCTCTTTAACCACTAGGACATAGTAGGTTCTCCAGTTCAGGTAGTATTCAAATTAATCCCACAGTCCGGCATCCTAAACTTCAAGCCTAGGGTACACTACAAGATCTGAAGCCTAAAACTCTAATACCAACTGTGACACCCTCACCTCTCCCTAGGACAAACCCTAGGGTTTCAGCGAGGCACCTACCTAACTCTCGTTAGGACTCACACACTCATTCTAGGTTAATAAAGAATCACAAGTCAACCATTGATTTAGGATTTAGAAATATTTTGAATATACAAGCCACAACTCTTAAGGCTACCATTCACAACAACAAATCAAAATACCCAAGTATAACAAAATTTACGCTTTAAAAGTCTTCAATTTCATACAAAAGATATACTAGCTTCCACCAAACGCCGTTAGTCTAGAATTTCCAACTTCCACCTCCAAGTCCTGCTAAGGAAAACAAACTCAAAGGGATGAGTTAATACTCAGTGAGGCTAAGAAATCAAGCAAGCAAGCAAACAAGCAGTGCGAACTAACTCAAATAACACACTTAAGAGAGACTTAACACAAATTCATATAAACGAGCACGTAGGAAGTAAAATACAAATGAAAAGGACACAGGAACTCTTAAGAGCTATTTCCACGTCATGGCCGGTTCAAGCCATCTTTGGTTGACTCACCGTCAACTCAAGTAGTAACATATCCGTAGAGCTCCACTTACTTCCTCTATCCACCATATCACCTTCTCGGATCCGGAACCAAACACGCACGAGATGGCAATACTACTTGAGTATGCCAAGCAAGATCTCAAAAAATCAAGCTTTATTATTTTCATGGTTCACCAAGCTTCTCAACCAAGCCCTTACCGACTCAAGTTACGAGGCTAGCCAAGGGTTTTGGGCATCCCCACGAGTATAAGTGGTCGATGAGATAATACTCTAATCGACTTAAAATGGGTCACAGTACTGAGTCGGGATGAGAGGTACCTCCCATCCGAATGGGATGTGGTACATGCTGCCACTCTGTACTCATGATTACAAATACGTTCAAGTCACCCAATTCATATTTCAAGTAACAAGTATTCAAGAGGGAGAGGACAAGGGTGATAAAGTACAACCCCGCCTCGGCAAGTTCACGAATCATAACAATTTCACGTAACACTTGTACAAATATCGTTTCAATCATAGTACATGAAACATGCACTTGGCACTCACCAAAAGTTAAGAGCAAATACGAGAGCAAAAGCAAGAGGTCAAACGAGCTCCTCGGTGTCCACGTGATCACCTGAGACATGTACAATCATGATTACCTAGGTATTCGACCAAGACTAATGAGAAAAAATATCCTCTTGCTACCCACATTCAAAGCCATGAGTTCAAGTCGAGTTAAAAAAGGTTTTTTCGCTTAAGCATTGAAATAACACTCAAGGAGAACTCAAAAGTCATTTTCGATTCATGTTGTGATAAGAAATCTCAATTCCAAAAGAAAGTACCTTAGTTAACTTTTAGCACGAAAATCGAGAAAAGGGAAGATGGTTTTTTTTTTTTTTTTTTTTGGCAAAACCCCAAACCGGGGGAGGGACGCCACCCCTCAAAGCTTTATTAGAAATAAACCCTTACAAGTTTGGAGCGATCACACTCTTACATAGTGAATGTTGGGGTACTGCCTAGAGTCTAGCTTACAGAGGCCTGTTGTGAGTGTAGGAAGAGAGAGGGCATCAAAAACCTTCGAGTCGCCAGATGAAACCGCCCGTTTTGCAAGGCTATCAGCTGCAGCATTGGTTTCTCTGTAGCAATGTGTTAATTCAAAGGAAGCTTGACGAAGGGCTACTCGAGCCCTAGCTATCACCTCATCAATGCGCCAGGGGCACCTGCGTTCCCCATTAATGACATTTAGTAGAACCAGAGAATCCAGTTCCACCTTTATGTACTGCATGATACGAAATATGGGCCGCTTATGGGCCATGTTTTGGGCTGCAAGAGATTGAATCTTTTAGTAATAGTTAGTAGTTTATTTTCTAGATTTCTATTTTATTTGCTAGGAATAAATTCGGTCCAAGACCTCATGTTGAGTTGGATCCGATTTATAGAGTCTAGGCTCACTATAACTTAAGTTGGTTAATTAGCTTTTATTGGGTTATGTTGGGCCAGCTTAAAGCTTTCATTGGATCGATTATAAGCTGACCATTAGATAGTGGATTTGAGTAGTGGAATCGGGCCAAAGGCCTAGCCTAGCCGAGTTAGGGTTTTCAAGTCACTTTAAGTTTTCAAGTTGTAAGGCTATATATAGCCTAGGTTTTCATTCATTAAAGAGCAATTCAGATTTTATAAAATATATGTGAGTTATTTCACTCTCTCTTGCCTCAAGAGAATTTCCTTTGAATACTTGAGAATCAATCTCAAGCTGTTCATTGAACTTATCAATCAAGTAGTCTCCTTGATTGTGGCGTTCTTCTAACTATACTTTTGGTTCACTAAATTTGCTAGTCTTGGGTTAAGGAATCTCCTTAGTTCGTGGCTTGTGATTCTAGAAGGGTCAAAGTTCCGCAAATCATCCCAACTTGGTGTTCGTCTAGATCCGTCGCACATCAGTTGGTATCCAGAGCTAGTCGACGACATCAAGTATATCCCGTTGAGTTTGTTCGTAAGCTTTCTAGTCAATTTTATTTTGCAATTCTGGTCGTGTCTTCCTTTGTGTCAAGTCCGGTCATTATTACAAAAAAAAAAAATTCTGTCCGCCTTTGTTGTCTTGTTGAGTCACTCTTTGATTTCTTTTGCTTCGTGTCCACTTCGTGCATTACTTGTTGTGTGATTCTGTCTTGAAGCCTGCCTTCAAGTGTAGCCGTGTTTTGTTCGTTGCATATTCTGTTTAAATATCAAACAAAAAAAAAAAATTTCTGCGACGGCTAGGGTTTTCACTTGCAACTAGGGTTTTCCTTGGGCACAAGTTTCTTACCGAATCTGTCCAAACTTTAGTTTATTCCACCAAGTTGTTTTCATTAATTTCCTAAACTGATTTTTGTGGTTAAACTTGTTTGGGGTTGGAATCTTGAAGAGGGACTACAATAATCTAGGGTTTCTTGAGTTCCTTGAAACTAATCTTGAAGTCTTGAAACTTTGATACATGTCTTGATAGTTGTTGGAGGATTGAAGGAGAACATTGGTTTGACATTAACATTCTGGAATTTTACCCAAAAACAGCCGAGTAATTGTGTGTTTTAGAGTCAAAAAAAAAAAGGAAGAAAAGAGAAAAGGCATTCGGGTAGCAAGCAACAAAGAAAGAAGCCGAAATTTTATTGACCAAGCTGTCTTGTTACTCCTTGTTCCAAACCAAACCAGAAACTACACCAGAAAAAAAAAAAAGAAAAGAAACTCAAAAATTCTGTCCAACCTCTTCTTGAAAATACCCAAATAAGTCCAACACCTAACTTGTTTCCAAAAATCAATTGGGCAATTAAGTAAAGCACTTGGGAACTCCATCATCGTACTTGGACTTTCTTTTTTTCTTTGTACATCAATTCTTTCCTCTTCCACTCCTTATTCATTACTTGAGCTTTCCATTTCTACTTTTTGTTTCCTTGTTCTTTTGATACAATTGGGAGCTATTTTGATTAAAGTTTGATTGAACTTCCTTGAGAAATTTCTGATTTCTTCAAAGGAAACAAACAAGTGGTTTGAGCAGTGAATTGGTGAGATCATTAGAGTGACATAAGCACTTGAGTGAAAACACGAGAGGAGTGAAACACTTAAGGGAGCAAGTGAGGCATTTTCTCCTAACAATTTGTCAAGTTTTGCAGGTTTCACCATGTCTCAGGAAACTGAACTTACCATTGCTCAGTTATCACTTAAAATGGATAATATGTGGAAGGAAATGCAGAGGAGATTTGACCAAAGGTTGGAAACAATCCATGAGCAAATTGATCAACTAAGTTCGTCTAGGGCTTCTTCTAGGAAATCTAGGGGAAAATCCACCCTGGGGGAATCTAGTGACTCCAATACTGATTCGGAACATGAGGCATACGAGCAAAGAAGACCAAAGCGAAACACAAGAGCAAACGGTGATGCCATCAAGGGGATTAAGATGCAGATTCCTCCTTTCCAAGGCAAATCTGATCCGGATACATACCTTGAATGGGAGAGTCGAGTGGAGCTAGTATTCGGTTGTAATGACTACACCGATGCACAAAAGTTGAGACTTGCCGTAGTAGAATTCACCGACTATGCCATAGTTTGGTGGGAACAAGTGGTTACAAGCAGGAGAAGGTGTGGAGACCCACCTATAACCACTTGGACTGAGCTCAAGAGACTGATGAAGAAGCGATTTGTACCAAATCACTACCATAGAGACTTGTACCAAAAACTTCAAACCTTGACACAAGGTCAACGCTCAGTTGAGGACTACTACAAGGACATGGAAATCTCCATGTTAAGAGCTGATATTCAAGAAGATAGAGAGGCTACAATGGCAAGATTTCTCAATGGTCTGAGGGTTGAAATAGCCGATCAACTGGAGCTTCAATACTATGTGGAGATAGAAGATATGGTGGAGAAGGCTATCAAGATTGAGCAAAGGCTCAAGAGGAGGGGTACAACCAGAAATTATAACCCTCATCCACACACATTTACTCGACCATTCCAGCCTAGAAGGGAAGAGAGAGGTTCGAATACTTGGACCACTCCAAAGCTGAAGCAAGATCAAGGGTCAAGCTCACGGCCACCTTTTACCACAACCGACTCCAAGGTTGTTTCAAAACCAACAATTGAAACTTCAAAACCTAGGAATCGTGACACCAAATGTTGGAGGTGTCAAGGAGTTGGGCACATTGCAAGCCAATGTCCAAATCCAAGGACCATGCTTGTGCTACCAAATGGAGACATTGTCACTGATGATGAAGAGGAGGAGTACAAAGACATGCCTTCCTTGGTTGAAGAGGAAGATGAGATAGAGGAAGTTCCAACTCAAGACAAAGTTGGATTGGTCGCAAGAAGGGCACTAGCTACGCAAGCTAGTAAGGATGAGCTTCAACGTGACAACATCTTTTACACTAGGTGCCATGTGACCAACAAGGTATGCAGCTTGGTGATTGACCCCGGAAGTTGCACTAATGTTGCTAGTGCATTGATGGTGGAGAAACTAAACTTGCCAACTAGTGAGCACCCCCATCCCTACAAGCTTCAGTGGTTAAACAACAGTGGAGAGGTACGTGTTCATAAACAAGTTTTGGTTACCTTTCGCATTGGTAGGTATGAAGATGATGTTATGTGTGATGTAGTACCAATGCAAGCTGCACATATACGCTTAGGGCGTCCTTGGCAATTTGACAAAAGAGTCACTTTTGATGGTTTCTTGAAAAAATACTCTTTCATACATAATTGTAAAAAGATTACACTTGCACCTCTTACACCTCAACAAGTGCATGAGGATCAAGTTAGTCTCCAAAAAGAGTATGCCTCGCATACTACCACCAAGAAGGACAACGCCAAGGCTAAGAAATTAGTGACGGCCGACCCTTCTTCAAGCAAGTTGGATCACTCTCATTTGGCCTTAGAGCCCACACAGGAGAGAAAACCCAGCATGCTTGCCAAGGTGAAAGATGTGAGACAGGCCTTGCATTCTAATCAGGTTTTATTTATTTTATTTGGCAAGGAATCCTTACTCACTAATGCTCTTGATGCTTCTTTGCCTAGTGTTATTACTAACCTCTTACAGGAGTATCAAGACGTCTTTCCTGAGGATATACCTAATGGATTGCCTCCATTAAGGGGAATTGAACATCAAATTCATTTCATTCCTGGATCTTCCCTTCCAAACAAGGCACCATATAGGACCAATCCTGAGGAAACCAAGGAGCAACAACGACAAGTGGAGGAGCAACCTGGTTTTATTCTTCAATTTGAGCGTTCAAAAGCTACCTATCTCGATCTTGTTCCATTTGTGCAAGATAGGCCATACCCATAACAACTTGCAATGAATTTTATAATTTTGCACAATCATGTCCGAGACTTTTCTAGCCTGATTGAGCATCACTATGAAGATCCTTATCTTGTGAATGTGAATGGTAAGCTGTCAAGTGATTTTATACCTACAAATCCTAATCGTGTGATTTATTGTGTAGGTCCAAATTCGACCATTCATGACACAATGCTGATTAGAGAGCTTTGGAGTGGTTGGAGCAAAGCCTTGAGTTTCCCATGGCGGATTGTGAGCATTTTCAAGCTAACCAAGAGACATGTGCACCGAATTACAATAATCATGACGTATGCAAGTATCATCCATTCTACGAGAGCCAATATGTGGAGATTTGAAGTTTCATACTGCCAACTCTTGTAGTACCATTCATTTCCAAACACGATTTGAGGACAAATCTTTTTTTAAGAGGAGGGGAATGATACGAAATATGGGCCGCTTATGGGCCATGTTTTGGGCTGCAAGAGATTGAATCTTTTAGTAATAGTTAGTAGTTTATTTTCTAGATTTCTATTTTATTTGCTAGGAATAAATTCGGTCCAAGACCTCGTGTTGAGTTGGATCCGATTTATAGAGTCTAGGCTCACTATAACTTAAGTTGGTTAATTAGCTTTTATTGGGTTATGTTGGGCCAGCTTAAAGCTTTCATTGGATCGATTATAAGCTGACCATTAGATAGTGGATTTGAGTAGTGGAATCGGGCCAAAGGCCTAGCCTAGCCGAGTTAGGGTTTTCAAGTCACTTTAAGTTTTCAAGTTGTAAGGCTATATATAGCCTAGGTTTTCATTCATTAAAGAGCAATTCAGATTTTATAAAATATATGTGAGTTATTTCACTCTCTCTTGCCTCAAGAGAATTTCCTTTGAATACTTGAGAATCAATCTCAAGCTGTTCATTGAACTTATCAATGAAGTAGTCTCCTTGATTGTGGCGTTCTTCTAACTATACTTTTGGTTCACTAAATTTGCTAGTCTTGGGTTAAGGAATCTCCTTAGTTCGTGGCTTGTGATTCTAGAAGGGTCAAAGTTCCGCAAATCATCCCAACTTGGTGTTCGTCTAGATCCGTCGCACATCACTGCATACCTAAGGAGATACATAAATGTAAACCCTCAAGAAGAGCCATGGCCTCTGCTTGCATATTTGTCCGAAACCCGTAAAAGGAGGAGAAAGCACTAAGGACGTGGCCATGCTGATCGCGTATAATGCCCCCCCCCCCGCCAGAGTTTCCAGGATTGCCGCTTGAAGAGCTATCAATATTGAGCTTGACGTAAGATGCAGGAGGCGGAGCCCATGCAAGAGATAGGACTTGCATAGATTTTGCCTTTTTAAGAAAAGGAACAACTCCCCGTTTCAGAAGCCGGTCATCGTCCATGCATGCCCAGGAGAGAGGGTGAGCAAGGGCCACCAAATGTATCAAACGCAGGATCTGGCGCACAACATGAGTTGCCGAGCAGGGAAGATGGTTTTCATATGTCAAAACTTCTAATCATATGCCCAAGTTTTAGAATATAAAGGATCACTCATGTTTTCAAATATTATGGAGTCAAAATCCATCAAAACGTTACTCATTTTCATAGTAAATGTTGAAGTTAAAAGTTCCAAGTTTCGAATATAAAACTAGTGAAATTCCTCAAGAGTTACTCTAGCTAAAACACTCCATTTTATGATTCAATGTCATGGAAACTAAGGGCATAAAAGTAGGGGTTAAATCTATTTATCAAGTATGAAATGAGGTGTATATAATCAAGTAAGCTAGGTTTAATACCTAGGATATGTTTCCAAACCACTTTTGATGTTTTCGCTGCTATATAAGGAAAAAGTCAGTTTTGGACAGCATTTTTTGGAAAATCATAACTTGAATTTCATAAGTCCAAAATTTGCAAATCTTGTACTGTTGGAAACTAGATTCAAAGTACTAAAACTTTTCAAAGATACTTTTTGTGACAGCCCCACCTCCCCCTAAGGCGAACCAGAGGGTTCGGCGGGCCGCCTGCCCAGCTCTCGCCGGGACTCAGTCGTTCACTACATTCCTCAAACAGATTACAAGAATAAACCTCAAATATTACAATATAAATCTCTAATATACATCAAATTCTCCAAAAATTACATGTTATAAGCGAAGCGGAAACAATTCCAAATAAGCCATCCAGTCACGTGAATAAGTACTACAAGCCCTTCCTTCGCCTTGAGCCCTGTGGAGGGGAATAAAACATTTTTGGGGTGAGCTAGAAGCTCAGCGAGTAACCAGTAAAAGCAGTCATCAAATATATTGCACAGTAATGTATTCCAATGATGTCATGAATCAGAGATCAAATGTACGTCTTTTGCTCTCGTGAGCCAGTGAAATCATAGCACTTGAACACCCAACGCTCAAATAGATCATTTAACATTAACAGGGAGGGAGCCCCTTTTTGAGCTCCAGATAAACATGAACATGAACCATAAACAGAGTGGAGACGTTGGTGTCCAACACAAGACTCCCCAAGAACTCAGTAAAGCCAAAATTTGTCATGAACTCACATGCAAGCACGCATGATATGCATTCGAGTAAATAATGCAAGAAACGTTTCACAAGTACTTTGGAAATAGTTTAGGGTCACTCACCTCCATGGATCAGAAATCATCCATCATATAATATTGCCTTGCTCAAATCCAAGTCTTAGATCACAAACTCAATGCAAACAAATCCCTTCAAAGTTCGGACAGCACTTCCCCTGAATTTGCTAACTTTTCCAGCCATCATGGCTTCATTATTTCCTCATTCCATCCCAAACGTACACACACAACAACAAGTTCATCCAATAGCCATTCAGCAAGCTCCAAGTAGTACTAGGACAAGTCAAGCTAGGGAAAAGTCCGGAAATGAAAGTTAAGCTCAAAACCAGAAAAACAGGTTTTGACGTCATTTTGCGGTAATGGTACCAAAGGCACTACGATTGTCGGATGAAGGTCCAAGATACACTGTTTCGAAGCTAAAAGACAGGGATACAATATTTCAGAAGGTCACTCAACCCAGTTTCGAGTGTAACCAGGTCAAAAATGCAAGATACTATACCAGAATCACAAAAAGAGATTCACAGAACGCATTCTAGCGGAAACATCATAAAACAGACTATCCAAGTCCAAATCCAGAAATTCCAAAACCATCTGAAAGCTAAGCAACAGGGCTAAATTTCATCAGAAGGCCTCAACAACCAATTCGGAATCAATTCCAGCCAAAATAACCCATTACAGGCGCAATTCTTACATTCGGGTAAAACCAGAATAGCAATAGTAATTTCGACTTTTATCATTCTACACTACTCCGATTGACCTGAAATTTTGTAGGTACCTCTAAAATGTTATTCCCTACAACTTTGATGTTTTAATCCAAGGCCAATTCGGCCTTTATATAGGACCTAAAAATTCGGACAAAATGCTCCTTCAAGAACCCTAGTTTTCTGAAATTTCTTCCAAACCAGAAATTGATTGCAATTGTCCACTTTTTCCACCTTCTAGAATCATTATATACCATTTCCAATCATCATAGATAGCCACACAATCATGCTCATATTAAAACAGAAAAATCCCCAATAATAATAAAACTTCATCAAGTCAACCACAACTCAAGATATAATCCATCAAACCATCTCTTTAGCCATCACAAGTCACTAATTTAGCATAATCAAGAACAAAGAAAGGATTGCTAGACATGAACCTTGAAATATCAAGAAAGTTGATGGCTTAGTCCTTTGCCTTCTCTAATCACTCCACCACTACCTTCAATCTTCCTAAACAAGTGACTTTTGTGGAGGAATTTGAAAGTTTAATGGTTGATTCACAAGATTGAGCAAGAAATGGAGTTGGAGTTGAAGGCTTTCTTCTTGTATTTTTGCTCCAAGAGGTTCGGCCAAGACAAGCTTAAAATGGAGAGAAATTGGTCAATTTTTTGAGGTTTAGTAAAGGTGATGCAAATTAGTCAAAGTCCAACTTTGAATAAGAAGGTGACACATGTCACCTTTTGGTTTAAAACTTATCTTTTTGTCTCTCCAATACAAATATCTTAACACTTTGTAAAATAATATCACTTAATACAAAATTCCAACAAGTTGTCAAAAATATAATGCATTTACCGCACTTGCGGGTCCCACGTTCAAAATACGCTTTTAATTTCTCAAAAACTAACCGATGCTAGAAAAATCATTTTCAAACTATCTTTGCTCATAAACTTTATCTGGGGAATTTTTCTAATAAAGAAAATGTAGAAAAGGCGGGCGATTAAATAAAATAAACACTAGAAAATTAGAAAATTTCCGGGTTCTCACACTCATTCTTTTCGGGGCGTCACACTTTTCCTAGATTCCAATCAGAAATCATTCAAATCTCAGCTCAAACTTGCTATTTTATTGAAACAGGGCAGGAACAGTTTTTGATTTTCATTCGAGTTTGAAAATTCGGTAAAATTCACGAAAATTGAATTAGCCTCTGAAATTCATAACACAAAAAGAAATTCAAGTCAATTTTCAAATGCAACAAGTAGAACTCAATTTGGATTTTCCAACACTAAGATACAAAAGTTTTAAGAAAATTGGTTTTTGCAACCTGTTCCGCAGATTTTCAGTCATAAAGCTTCGACACAGTTTCTAAATCAAGCCATAACTAACGCTACACCAGTCCAAATTGGGAATAATTTATGGCGTCGAAAACTAGATTCAAAATTCTATAAATCATCAGAAGAAATCATTTTCAAACTCTTTTCAAAAGAGGGATAAAATTGGGCCACAAGATGCAGCTGCATAATTTTCTCGGGTAAACAGGAGAAGCAGATTAGTCCACTTTGCCAATTTTCTCTACGGCTCACACCAAACGAATTAGTAGGGGAATTTTATACCGTTAGAAAGCCCTTGGTGTCTAGTTTCAAATGCCGCAAACGACACTTGATTTTGACTTTTGTACAAAGATTTATGTGCAGTCAAAGAGACCCTGGTCAGCTGACCTGGGCAGATTTTCCAGATTTCTTTCTTTTCTCAAAACTCAAGTTTTACCCAACCAATTGAAACAATTTTTGAGAGATAATTTTTACACACATAATACAACGTATAACAAGCATTTTTGCAGCCATTTGAGTAACAAAATTCGAAATTAAAGCAAGGGAACAAGACAACAGAAATTCGGACAGCTCCTCCCCTTGACTTCTTCAAGTTTTCTCTCCACTACCAAGCCAAATATCAAAGCATAATTCACAAGATTACAACTAAACAAGCAAGAATGCTCAAGTCCTCTACCTAGAAGTTCACCTCAAGACCACTACTTAAGATATAAAGCAAGAAAACAAGGGTTTCCTCAAGTCCTCTAGTTTAGATTTTTTGTTAGGGTTTTCAAATCCATGCAAAACAACCACTAACCATTACTAACTCTTGTAAAAATTAAAGATCAAAAGAGGCGAACTTGTTATCTCTTCAAGCCTCTTGAATCCTAGTTGGCGACAAGTTATTCACCAACAATCCACCAAGAAACCACCACAAGTTATCAACTTTCCTCTAGTTTGATCAATTTCCTAAGGTCTTGAGGGTTGGGTGTAAATCTTTGAGCAAGATTAATGGCAAAAGTTGAAGCTTTTCTTCCTCCTCTTGAGCTCCCAAGGTTCGGCCACTTAGAGAGAGAGAATGAGGGAAGATAATGTTTTGATTTGTGTTGAAAAGGCAAGAAGAAAAGCTAGCCTTTTATTTGGTTAGAAAGTCAACTTTGAATAGTGGTGTAATAGTGCCATGCACTACCAATTTCCTTCTTGTTTGCTACACTTAAATACTAATCCTCCAAGGTAGTTCCTCTTGCACCATTAATACTCTTTCTTACTAGTCTAAAATTAATTCTCCAAATCTCCAATTAGTCGCGTCGGTGTGACTTTTACAAAAATTTGACGCGTAAACAATAAAAGTATAATTTAAGTAAAATTCATGCTAAAATAATAAAATTAAATAACACCAATGCAAAGAATTTTAAAATAGATGAAATTAAAAATAAAAGTACGAGTCCTCACAGAAATTCTGTGATATGTGTCTTTGGAAAGTAAAAAAGAATTAGTTTTAGTTCACCAGCAATCCATCAGATGAAAGGTACTCTTGATTATATTCATTCAAATTTATGGGGTCTATCTCATGTTCCATCTAAGGGTGGTGCCAGGTATATGTTGACTTATTCAAGAAAAGTCTGGATTTATTTTCTTAAATATAAGAATGATGTTTATTTCACTTTCAAGCAATGAAAAGTTTTGATTAAAAAATAGATCAAACGGTTTAGAACAGATAATGGCATGAAAGTTTGTGAAAAAGAATTTGATAAATTTTGCAAGAATGAAGGAATTGTTCGGCATCGCATTGTTAGGATGACACCTCAATAAAATGGTGTGACCGAACGTATGAACAGAACACTTTTGGAGAGAGCGGGGTGTATGATCTCTAATGTAGAGTTGACAAAGGACTTTTGAGCAAAGGCGATTTCTATGGCCTTTTATATTGTTAACCGTGCTTCTTCTGCTGCTCTTAATTTCAAAACTCCAGAGGAAATTTGGTCAGGTACTCCTTCTGATTATTCTGATTTAAAAATTTTTGGATGTCCAACATACATGCATGTAAATGATAAAAAATTAGAGTTTCGAGCTAAAAAATGTATTTTTCTTGGGTATGCTTATGGGGTGAAAGGATACAAATTATGGTATCTTGATCCCAAATTTTTAAAATTTATAATCAATAGAGATGTTACTTTTGATGAATTCTCTATATTATCTTTCAAGAAGGAGTCTTCTAATTCTTGTCATGATAGTATGTAGAAGCAAGTGGAGTTTGAGATTGGTAATTCTGGTCCTTCTATTCAACAAGTGCCAGTAGATGCATCTGAATCTATTGATGAACATAATTCAAAAAAAGAAAATGTTCCATTGCCAAAGATAGACCAAGGAGGGATATTCGACCACCACAAAAATATACAAATTTGGTTGCATACACTTTGTCTGTTGGAGAAGAAATTGATGTAATTGGTGAGCCTACTACCTATTCAAAGACAGTTTCTTATGATGATTCTACTAAATGGTTGATTGTGATGAATGAAGAAATTGAGTCTCTCCATCGAAATGGAACTTGGATTCTTTTGAAATCACCTCCAGATAAAAAAATTGTTGGATGCAAATGGGTCTTCAAGAAGAAAGAAGGTATTCCAGGGGTTGAAGATGTAAGGTATAAAGTACGATTGGTTGCAAAGGGTTATAGTCACGTACAAGGTGTTGATATTAATGAAGTATTTTCACCTATTGTTAAGCATAGCTCTATTCGTATTTTGCTTACTTTAGTTGCCATGTATGATTTGGAGTTGGAGTAGCTTGATGTTAAGACAGTTTTCTTGCATGGTGAACTTGAAAAGAAAATTTATATAAAACAATTTCAGGCATTTGAAATTGAAGAAAAGAAAGACCATATTTGTTTGTTAAAGAGATCCTTATATGGATTGAAACAGTTTCCAGGACTATGGTATAAGAGCTTTGATACTTTTATGTTGGGTCATGGTTATTCAAGGAGTATGTATGATAGTTGTGTTTACTTCTGAAAGTTAGATGATGGTTCTTTCATTTATTTGCTACTTTATGTTGATGACATGCTCATTGCTGTCAAGAATTTATCAGAAATTCACATTTTGAAGTTGTGGTTAAGTAGTGAATTTGAAATGAAACATTTGGGAGCAGCTAAAAAAATTCTTGGCATGGAGATCAAGAGAGACCGATGAGTTGAAAAGTTATTCTTGACCCAAGAAAATTATCTTGAGAAAGTTTTGGAGAAATTTGGTATGAAGGATACTAAACCTGTGACTACTCCTCTTGCTAATCATTTTTGACTATCTGCTACTCAATTACTACAGTTAGTTAAAGAGGAAGACTATACGGCACAAGTTCCTTATTCAAGTGCAGTCGGCAACATTATTTATACAATGGTTTGTACTCGTCCAGATATTGCACAAGCAGTCAGTGTGGTTAGCAGATATATGTCTTGTCCTGAAAAAACACATTGGCAGGCTGTGAAGTGGATTCTCAGATACTTGCGAGGGACTTTAAACTGTTGTTTGGAGTTTGGGAAAATTAATGACACTTTAATTGATTTTGTAGACTCGACCATATCGGGGATCTTGACAAAAGAAAATCACTTTCAAGTTACGTATTCTGCATTGGTGGTTGTGCAATTAGTTAGAAAGTTACTTTACAACCTGTTGTAGTTTTATCTACTACGGAAGTAGAATATATGTCCATGACCGAGGCAATCAAAGAAGTTTTGTGGTTGAAGGATTTTTTTGGTGAGTCCAGTCTACATCAAGGTATTACTACTATTTACTGTGATAGTCAAAGTACCATTCATTTGATTAAAGACCAGACGTATCATGAGAGGACGAAGCACATTGATGTGAAATTTCATTTCATTCGAGATACTATTACTAAGGGAAAAGTTATTGTTCAGAAAATCAGTACCAATGAGAATCTTACTGACATGTTCACGAAACCTCTTCTAGTTTACAAGTTCAAACAATGCTTGGACTTGATTGGTGTTCGTTGTTGGTGATTCAGGCCAATTGGGGCTTATGTGAAGAAGGTAGAGCAGATTTGTTATTGTCGATGTTGGGGACACGCCAAGATGGAGATTTGTTAAAGTGGCTTTGTCCCACATTGCCTTTTGCATAAGGGAATCTTTCCCTTAGTTGCCTATAAATATAGTGGGTCTGTGATGGAATTAAGTGCACCAAACAAAGAGAGTTTAGTGGGCTATTTGGACCATTAGGTCATTAAGTCTTTTGTTTAGTAAAATATTTTGCACTCTATTGTGTTTTAAGTATTAGGTGTTTTGGGTCTAGGAACACTTTTCTAAGACATTTTTGTACTCTCTTCTTCATAGTAAAATATTGCACCTCCTCCACCCGTAGATGTAGGTCAATTTGACCGAATCATGTAAATTCCTGTATTCCTATTTTACTTATTTTTGCTTTGTTATTTGTCTTTTGAGGTTGTCAAAAATTCTTTCGTCAATTTCCTAAGACCAGACTTAGCATTATTCTCGATCACTTCAACTCGACCTCCAAAAGAAGTGAAGCCCAGATCAAGATACCTACCTTCTATAATTTCAGCTACCTTCACTCTTTTTCACCATCAACCACTTTGAATTTTTCTTTGCAACTGAAATTGCCTAGTTCATTTTATTGGCACATAATCATGAAACTAATATTAATATGATGCACTCAAACATGTATTTACATACAAGTAGATGGGCTTGAACGAAGTTACCACTTACTAATTTGCCTATCTGTTGAAGTAAAAAAACAAGACAAAGGTTAATACGAACCTTGTAAGAAATTTTGTGAAAAAAAGTTGTATATGTGGCACCAATGGATGTTCAAATATTTTTTAAGAAAAATGAATATAGTTTGGGTCAGATCCTACTTTTTTATGGATAAAAATGAATATGGATTGGATCATTTATTTAACAACAAATAGGATTTAACTTTTTATCCTTAATAGAATGACCATGTCAGGTTACATGATGGATTCAAGATAAAAATTGTAAAAACCTAAGTTGGAATCAAATTTTACTAATTTGATTTTATAAGGGGTGTAAAGATATCATTTTAAAAGTGAAGGACAAAAAAATCATTTGACGAAATGTAAGAGACATTTTAAATGATTTTTTCATAAAATTTTAAATAAATCTTATATGCACTAACAGTATATACATTATCACTGTTACATGTATGATATATATCCAAAATTTTAATTTCGAGTTCAAATTCAAACACATTAGTTATCATCCAAAGCTGATGATGTGTATAAAAGATTGATCTTAAAATTATTGGGATAATACTATAAAAATAAACATATTTCATGATAAAATTTAGCATCTCCAAAGTTTTAATAACTTCATCTACCTCCCTTAGAATGACATTTTATGTGACATTGAAAGACCTTTTGAGTAAAAGTAAGATTATAAAATGTATATGAGTAAAGAGATTATATTATCATTCCATTACTACCCCTATGCCATCGTATTTATGAATTTCATAACTGAAATTAAAAAGCCAAATAAAGTTGAAAATCTAAGAATAATAATTTATAACATTGCACCAATAAATAGCAACTTGAAGATCGTTACTATAATGATTACTTTTGATAGCTTACTACACTAGTGTTAGGATTCAAACACGAAACAAACAACTATTAAGATATCAAGTACACAATAATTTAATGATAAACAAACCACAAGTATAAAAGATAAACGACACAATATTTAACGTGGTTCAACTCCACCATTGAGTCTACATCCATGTAGAGAGATCTGTTCTTTATTATGAGAGAAAAACCGTATGCAAGAAAATAACTTGAACCCAAACCTGACCATTGTATACCATCTCTCATCTTCCAAGAACCCTCTCTCACAACCCATGCATCGGACTACATGTAGCCCTTATGTGCTCTTGTGTGTTTCTTTGTAATATGTCAATCAATCTATTTATAGATAATATTATTTGGCCAAAACTTAAATAATAACAAGAAATCAATTCTAAATCCTAAACTTGTACATAATAGCAAATAACTTCTAATCCTAAACAAAATAGGAAATTCCTTGACTACTACTTCAAGTAACTAAAACCAATTAGAAAACTAGTTATTTTCACACAAAACAAGAAACCTGCCTAAAAGAAATTAAGCCAATTTCCTAATAAATCTCCACCTTGACGAAAATTTGTTTTAGCAACCGTTTGCCTTCAACTACCAAATAATATGGTACCGAACTACACATCCGAATCAATACAATTCTGACATCAAATTGATTCAATCGGCAAATGAACATGTGTAGTTACCCGGAATCCAGCCCCCAACTGACTAGTGAGAAGGTGCCTCAATTCACTATTTCTCTTTGCAGGATTTCTTCTCACCATCACTTGCAACTCGGGATCCCCTTCTGTGAGCTCTAACCCTAATCATTGAGGCAATCAAGTGGTAAAATCACCATACTTCTTCCCATTCTCAGGACTATCTCGCCACATGTGGTTTTCAAGACTCTACCTAAAACGAAAAACTCGTAACTGTCAGTCTTCTAGTGTATGGAAATTACATCTCTTTATTTTTTTGGAATATGTACCATACCATCCAAAGAACATAACCGAAATTTAAAAACCACCGGGATGAAGTATAACCATTAGAGGTGTGAGAAAGTCTCTACTGATTCATGTCCAAAATCAATATTAGACTCCACCTTTTCCTCAACCCTTGAATCACCTACCTAAATTCACCGTCAAGTATCTCCATGCTTTTCGACTTTCCATTCTTCACCGTCAATGCTTCTTGCCAAGCGATTGAAACAAGGATAGCACCCATTAAATTATTCAATTTGTAATAGCTACCGATCCACTTGATCTCAATAGTTAACTTGGATCCAATCTTGAATAACCAAACTCTTGATCCAACCATTCAATTTATTGGGATCCAAGTGCTTGTGAGCAGCACAATCTCACAACCAAGTTCTGATACTACTTGTTAGGATCCAAGTACGAAACAAACAACTATTGAGATATCAAGTACACAATAATTAATGATAAACAAACCACAAGCATGAAAGATAAATGATACACAATATTTAATGTGGTTCCACTCCACCATTGATCCTACATCCACGGATAGAAACCCGTTATTTATTATAAGAGAAAAATTCTATACAATAATACAACTTGAACCCAACTCCAATCCTTGTATACCATCTCTCATCTCTCAAGAACCTTCTCTCACACCCTATGTATAAAGCTACATGTCACCCTTGTATGCTCTTGTGTGTCTCTTTGTAGTATGTCAACCTATCTATTTATAGATAATATTATTTGGTCAAAACCCAAAGAATAACAGGAAACCAGTTCCAAATCCTAAACTTATACAGAATAGGAAATAACTTCTAATCTTAAACAAAATAGAAAATTTCTTGGCTACTATTGCAAGTAACTAAAATCAATTAGAAAACTAGTTATTTTCATACAAAACAAGAAATTTGCCTAAAAGAAATTAAACCAATTTCCTAACAAATAGCATAAAAAGGGTGAAATATAAGGTCAAAAATTTAGCAGCAAATAGGGATATGGAAAAGTTGTAGGAAGAACATTGATAGCATAATATGCCAAATTCAAACACTAGAGAGAGGTCTTATAATTCACCAATAGCATTCAGCATAAAGAATTGGCATTGTAGCTAGAATTGCAAGATGGCAATTAGTATTTTCGAAACAAATAAGAATCTAGTTAAGCTGTATTTTAGTTGTGCAAATTGCAACTTTTTTCAAAACCCATGCTTTCCTTATATATGCACAAAAAAATAGCAGCATTTACATTCCTATTATTCTCTCTTCAAACTTTTTAGCCTAAAAATTATGTTTCTTTTCCTAGCTTTTTTTTTCCTTCAAAAGGCATATCCAAATTGTAAGGATAACATTAGTACCAAATTGGTCATTTAGTACATTTTAGGGATGACTTTTTTTAAATTGAACTACCAGACCAATTTGGTTAGAATTAAATATTTTGAGGACTATATTTATCTTAACCAGACAAAAAAGAAAATCAAGTAGTTGGTTGTCATATTTTAGATATAAAAAAAAAAATGATACCTCAGAATTTATTCGTAATTTCTAGGATATGTTCAAAGGATTCAGAAACTAACTACCAAAGGACATACAGTATATAGAATCTGAATTAAGGAACACTTTATGGGATGTAATGGAATCCTCTCCTGAAACCTCTAGTAACAAAACCCCTAAGTCTCCTCAACTCATCCCACCATAACCCGCCACCCTAGCCTACTACTCCAAGACCCCATCTCTATGACTCTGTCAACCATCTTCACGTTTACTTCAACTAACTCCTCTTCTCATCCCTACCTCTATCATTTATCGCCAGTTTCTACCCATTCTCACTTTCATTCGGACAATCCCACCATGATATCTTACAAGGAGAAACTTATTCAAACTTTCCAGCATGTGCTCTAACTAGAGTGACTAGACTAGCTTGACAAAGACATTATCCTAGGCTTCGACATACTTGTATTGAACAACTCTCTGAACCTTAAAGTTGAGCCTCCCATATTTGTCACAAAAGAGGACTACGCCCGTGTATAGAAACCTTAGAAGAATGTAGTAATTATCAAACTAATGAATTCCTCTCTCAGCATTACCCGGCAAACAAAACACCGTGCTGGTTGTGGCCTCTTTAGGGAAGCTTTCAACTCTTTTCCTCGGTGAGGGTTTTTTTGTGGCGTGCTTCTAGTTATCGGAAAACCTGTGACAGCCCCACCTTCCCCTAAGGCGAACCAAAGAGTTCGGCGGACCGCCTGCCCAACTCTCGCCGGGACTCAATCGTTCACTTCAACCCTCAAACAAAACCAGAATAAACCCACAAGAATAAACATAACAACGATCCAAAACTTAAAGCAAAACTTATATACATTACTATCTCAAAAGGGAGTACAAACATCGAATATACAAAAGTTATCAATTCACCACACATCCAGTCCGTGCCCAGCACTAGGGCGAGAACCATTACAAAATCAAAGAGCTAGACCAAGCTAGTCTATACCAAGCTCTCATCCTTGCGTGCCTTCCCCTGTTAAGGAAAACAAAACTAAAGGGATGAGCTAAAAGCTCAGTGAGGTTCCGA